CTCTGTCGCCGTTCCCAAGTTTCTATTCCTGATCTGAGCAGCTAGCAGCGGACCCCGACCCCCGGGGTGCTGCCCGTGTTCTTGGACGAAGGGGTGGGTCCGTGGTGGGGTTTGGGGCGCGCCGGCTGATAAGCGCATGCTTTGCCGGGGAGGGCGCGTCAGCGATGAGCCGAGGTGAGCGCCCCCGCCCTTGCTGGGGTCAGCTATTACCTGGGTGACCCTCCTCACCCGGCTTTCCTAGGCTCGGGGCCAGCACCAACTTCCTCTGGAAAACACACAGAGGAGGCCCACAAACAGTTCCTGCCTCTTCAAGAGGGATGAGGAGCCTCTTGGGCCCTCCTTCCACAGCCTGGCAAGGGCGGCATTTGAGCCCTCTGCCCCACAGGGCCCTCCGCCCAGACTCCTACTCGGTGGGATCAGCTGTATCCCTTTACTTCTGAGAAACCCAGGGAAAGCTTCCTCCTGCAGCATCCTGCACCCTCCCTCCCCCTTCCAAACCGGGTCCCTCTGCAGTCGTGGGGGGTGGGAGGAACTCATTCCTGCCACCTGCCTGTAGTGGGAGGAGAAACAGTAGCCCCAGCCAGCCTCCCTGGAGGCCCCCAGGTGGGAAGTTTGGATGTTTGGCCCGCTCTTCTCCTGCCACTGTTGCCAGAGCCTGTCACAAGCACCCTATGCCAGGTGTCAGGGCCTCAGGCCCGGTGCCAGCTTCTCCTTGCAGTCTGGACCCCCCAACCCCCTTGCCTTCTGCCTTGGGAGGCACAGGCTGTTTACAGCGGGAGGAGATCTGTGACCAGCGTGGGGCAGGATGTTGGCTGTGGGCAGCCTCCAGAAGGGAGCTTCCTGGGCCCCAGGGAATCAGAAGTTTCTGGGTCTGGAAAGGCCACCCTTCTGGGCTCTTGTCTCTCAAGCTGTGTCCAGGCTGAGGCCCAAGTCTTGGCCAGGAAGTCTTGGTGACCCTGTGACTTCCCCCACAGGGGGGTTCCTGGGAGAGGCCAAGTGGTGTCTGTCTTTATCCCTGCCTCCATCCTTCTCCCCACATGGGGACGGACAGACGGATTGTTCCGGAGATGGAAGCCTGGGGGAGCACTGATTGTCCCCAGTGCCAATTGCAGCAGAAGCCAAGAGGGGCTTTTTCCGCCACACACTAAGTTCAGTTCAGCTGAGGTCTTGGTGCTTTCAACTTGGCTGAGGCCACCCTGTTCCTCCCTAATTA